TATCTCTTTATTTTATTTTAAATTGCCATAGCTATATTTCACATTTTTACTGTGCTAAAATCATTAACTAACATAGTAGTTAAGACACTTGTTTTAATTATTTTTATTTCATTAATTATATTTATCTTTTGTGCTAGTCATAATTTTTATTAGGGTATTATTAATTTTAATTATAAAAACCTAATTCACCCCCCCTCTTAGGTTGTCTTTTGGGTAACATATATCATCTGCTGATGGGTAAATTCATCTTACCTGACCTAACAACTGTTGAGGAAAATAAATAGCTTGTTTGAAATGTCATGAACACAATGGGTTCAAATGATCTATATAACATATTGGAATAATATATATATATATATATATTGTCTTTCAAATGATCTGTTGATATATGGATCTCTCTATTGATATATAGATTAAGTTTATTTATTATATGTTAGGTTTTTGTACTTGGCAATCCCGTTTGAACAAAACTCTTTTCAGTTGTAATTTTATTCGATCTTTTATTTTAGTGAGGTTATGAGTATTTAGATGCAAATTCAACTCGAATTGTGCATATGGAGAGGAGTTTGTGAGCTTAATCCTATCATGTTTGCCCTATAGCGGGTCCGGGTAGCGCCCTCAAAGCAAAAAATATAAATGTAGTCGAAGTTGTTTGTCCGCTTGAGCGGTCGATTTTGTGCTCGAGCGAAGATGCAATCCTCTCAGAAGTTTCACTCATTTGCAAAAGAATTGGGAGTTGAGATTTTATGCTCGAGTGAGCTTTCCATCGCTTGAGCGAAGGAACTATTTTAGAAACACGTGTTTTAGTCACACCGCTCGAGCGGCCATTCCTACGCTCGAAAGGTGATCGCGGTTCTACTTGCTATAAAGCTGTTATTAAATCAGTTTCTAAGGTACAACTTCTAGATCTTCTTCTTGGGTATTAGGGTTTTCATCTAGAGCTTCTTTGCTAGTTTCTTTGATGCTTGTTTGAATTTAACTCATGGTTTGAGAAGTATACATCAAAGGATTGTTTGTTTCATTCAATATAAAAGAGAGAGTTGTTCTTCGGTGAGTTCCGGGAAATTTGGGCTTGAAGCTTTGGTGGATTTCGGAGTGGCTCATCTGTTAGAAAATTGGTTTTATTAGGCTTATTTTGGGCCAACTTTGAGCCCAAAAGTGAGTGGGCCCCAAACGTCTTTTGGGGTAGGTCCGAAGAGGTGATGTGTTCTTTGCCGCGTGGTAAGTCACACGGTGAAGAGGGTTCGTCAAAACCATTTATGAGTGAATGGGAAGTTGGCGTCGTTTTAGGGTTCGTGGAATTGGACATTGAAAGATTTAAATGTGGGTTACCCCACATTGAAACTTTAAGAGAGTTTGTGTATGTATATAAGCTTTAGACTACAACACTTGAGACACTTGGGTTGGGCCCCAAGGGGAACCCCAAGTTTGTAGAAGAGAGGAGTTATGGACAAATGAAACCTTAGCCCAAACCACCACACACACGCGTGCCGGGCCCGTGTATGGGTTGTGGGTCGGGTCAGTTCTAATATTTATTTTTTGGACAAAATTCTTTTGAATTTTTTCAAAAAATTATTGCGGGAATTTAATTCCAAATTTGAATTTGAAATTCAAATTTTTGTCCATAATTTTATGCCTCTTTTCTGAACCAAATTCCACAACAGATTTTTCAGTCCAAACAATTTTTTATTTTGTTCAAATCCGGACAGATTCATAACTGTCCAGACATATTCAAAATCTGGACAGTTTAGTTGCAGATCTGTTTGAATTTTGAATGATATCTGTTCAAAGAGTTTCACACATGTTCATTTGATTCTACAACAGGTTTATTTTTGAATAGATTTGAACTGGTTTTGACAGGTTTATAACTGCCAAAAACTGCCCAGCAGTTCCCAGCAGTTTACAGATTAATCCGTGTCAAGATCTATTCAAATTTTGAATCTGTATCTGTTCAAAGCAGTGTATACCTGTTCATTCAAAATATGTACCTATTCAAACAGAGTTATTTGGCTATAAATACCAGCCACTTTCCAACAGCCTTGGATGATCCAAAAATAGTTTGAAAATTACATTTTGTTGTCCAATTTTCTCTTTTGCATTATTTATTCTTCATTCTAGTTTTAGAGGAAATTAAAGAGAGTATAGAACACAAGGTTCTAATTCGCCAAACAAATTTGTTTGGAATGCTACTACAAATTTGTGAAGATCATTGTATCCAGAGAAATAGACGCCACTTTACCGTAAGCACCGTAGCGGGGCGAATCTGTCTTAAGGACGGAGTGTCACATACTCGACTTGGTCTTTAAATTTTTAATTCGGTATGATAAATAAATTCGGTACGCTATTTATTTATTTGTTTGGTTTTGTTTCAATTTATTTTATTTACACAGAAGATTGTTCCAACAATCTTAAGACAGATTCAGATTATTCTGTTTACAGAGTTTTCGTTTATTTCCTTTCTTCTTTCTTCTTTTTACAGAAATTATTTTCTGTGATTTTACAAAATAATATTCTGGTTAGAAAACAAATAGTAGTAATGTACTGTTTGACAGATAGTAGTAATATACTACCTATTTTCTTTGACAACTAGTAGTAATATACTTGTGTCATTAACAATTCAGAATAGTTATTTGTGAAGTCTGTCAGAAATTAATTTTGGTTTTCTTAAATAATTTCTGAGTGTTCATTAATTAAAAATAAATTTATTTTTTTAATTATTGAAGTGTTACAGAAATTTAATTTCTGTGCGGAATTAATTTGGTTAAATAAAATTTTATTTTATTCCCAAATTAATTGAAAAATAAAAGTTACATTCTTGTTTCTTTTATTTTTACTGAATTTAATTCTGTGAATTTGGATTAATTTTCTGTGTAGTACAAATTCTAATTATAATTTTGTTTTATAATTTAGAATTCATGGCTACTGAAACTAATGCCCAAACAAGTACTAGTGTGGTGGCTGCAATTGCGTTAACCCCCCCTCCTGTTGTGACAATACTGGTAAATTATGGTGAGAAGCCAAAGAAGTTCTTTGGAACTGATTTTAAAAGATGGCAACAGAAAGTGTTGTTCTATCTTACAACTCTGAACCTGGCTCGTTTTCTCCGTGAGAATGCTCCTATTTTGAAAGAGAATGAAACTGATCGGCAAGTGGTTGTTGCGGTTGATGCCTGGAAACATGCTGATTTCCTTTGTCGGAACTACATCTTGAATGGACTTGACAACACATTATACAACGTCTACAGTCCTATCAAGACAGCAAAGGGACTTTGGGAGTCTTTGGAGAAAAAGTACAAAACGGAAGATGCCGGCTCAAAGAAATTTGTGGTTGGCAAATCCCTAGACTTTGTAATGGTTGATTCTAAGACTGTGATCAGCCAAGTTCAAGATCTCTAACTCATTCTGCATGACATTTACGCAGAGGGCATGTCTCTTAATGAATCATTCCAAGTTACAACCTTAATTGAGAAATTACCACAAGGCTGGAAGGAATTCAAGAACTATCTCAAACACAAGCACAAAGAAATGTCTTTAGAATAATTAATTGTGCGTTTGAGGATTGAGGAAGACAATTGCAATTCTGAAAAGTGGGCCAATAAGCATCCTATAGAGTCTAAGGCAAATGTGGTGGAACATGCTCCAAAAGCAAAGAAACGGAAGGTTTCTGGAGAAAGTTCATCACAAGGCTCTAAAGGAGGGGAAATTAAAAAGTACAAGTTTAAGGGCAAGTGTTACATCTGTGACAAAGAGGGACATCGGGCCAAAGATTACCGTAGCAAAGGCAAAAGCAAAAGAAGAACAAGCAAGAAGCCTGCTCAAGCCCATATGACCGAAGTGGACAATATTTCCAATGGTGTAGATAACATCAATCTTTCTGCAGTTGTTTCCGAGGCAAATCTTGTTGGAAATCCTAAAGAATGGTGGGTGGACACTGGTGTTACTCACCACATTTGTGCCGACAAAAAGATGTTCACATCTTATTCTATAATGGACAACGATGAACAACTTTTTATGGGCAACTCCTCAACTTCCAAAGTTGAAGGACAAGGGAAGATTGTTATGAAGATGACATCTGGAAATGAACTCACTCTCAACAGTGTGCTGCATGTACTAGACATTCGTAAGAATATTGTTTCTGGATCTTTGTTGAGTAAGAATGGGTTTAAGCTAGTGTTTGAGAGTGATAAATTTGTACTTACTAACACTACAGGAAATTACACTTTTGGTGACTAAATTTGGCTACTAAAAAAAATTTAGTAGCCAAAAGTTATGGAATTGGCGACCAAAAATTATATTAGTTGGCAAAAGTAGAAGATTTAGCTACTAATTTTTTTTAGTCGGGGTATATTGATTATTGGCGACTAAAAAAAATTTAGTCGGTAAAAATGCAACAATTGGCTACTAAAAAATATTTTAGTCGCTGCATAGTTAGTTTTAGCTACGAAAATTATTTAGTCGCCAAATAAAAAATAAAAATTTACTTTTTATCTTTTGCGACCAAAAGTTTAGTCGCCAAAAATTAATTTTCAGCGATTAAAAAATATTTTAGTCGCCAATGAACTTAAAATTACCCCATAGGCGACTAAAAATAATTTAGTCGGTATTTAATTTACTTTTAGCAACTAAATTTTAGTTGGCAATTATAATTAAGAATTTTAAAAATTAGACTTCAGATTTTGGAGAGAAAATTAATTGGCTACTAAATATTTCGTCGGAGGAAAGGCCGTCATTTATTATTGGCGACCAAAGAAGTTAGTCGGGAAAGAAAATAAACTAGGTTTAAGAAATACACTCCCACACGCTCTAACTCTCGTATATATCTCTGTCCATCTGTCACTCTGTGACTCTCTCTTCCTCTCTCACGCTTCTGCTCTCCTCCGGCTTGTCTCAATCGTTAACGGAGCATCACCGCCATCGCACATGAGCACCACCTTCAGTTCACCATTGGAGCATTACCCCAGGTATGTCCTCTCTATAGTCTCTATTCCCCTAATTTCAGCCTCGAGGGGTTTTCTTCAGTTTGCATACCTTCACGCAAACCCAACCCCAAATCGACCCATATTAAGGTTAAGGCATCTGTTCATTCATTGTCCTTGGATATGGAGGATATAGGTTGAATTACTAGAATGGTGGAATGTTCGCTGGGTTACACCATAATCTTTTTCAAATTTGTCACACTGGGGGTTTGGGTTTAAATTTGGGAAGCGGGAAAAGAAGATGTGGAGGCCATGGTTTGGTCAATTTGGAAGGCTCGTAATGACCTCAAGTTTAATGGAATTCAAGTTAGATGGGAGTCTTTGGTTCAGATTGCTTTGTGGGTCAAATATAAGTGCAAGGATGTGGTCTTTGCGGTGAATGATCTAGTGTTTAACTTGGCAGCGGTGAGAGGTTTTAGGGTGTAGTTGGTGTTTCGCTTTGCTCTTTGTTTTTTTTCTAACTAGTGCTCTTGCTTCTTTGTTTTTCTCTACCTACTGCTCTAACTTGGCTTGTTTCATCCATGCTTGTATTTGTTGTTGTCTTCTGACCCTATTGCTCACCATGTGTTTGACGAAATGTTCAAATGAAACTGGACAATGCTCATGTGTTTAACATCTGTTTATGAGGTTTGGTAGTGCCCAGATTGAATTTAATTATTTTTTTCAATTACCTGTTCATGAGCTCTTATTAGGTGCAATTTCAGTTTGAGATTGAATTCATTTTTTTTTTTAGTTTCATGAGCTGTTATTAGGTACAATGCTCATGAGATTGAATTTCAATTTTTTTTTTTCAGTTTTTTTTTTTAATTACCTGTTCATGAGCTGTTATTAGGTGCAATTTTAGATGATAAAATAACATGCCAATGGTTCTTCACTGCATTGTTAGTTCTTCCTGGGAAAAGCCTGGCAATCATGGCCCACTTGTTTCCATACAGCCTATGAGCAGCCATTAGTCTCTCTTCTTCCTCTTCACTAAAAGCTTTTCTGTTGATCCTTGGGTCCAATTGGTTGAACCATCTCAGCCTACAACTCTTACGCTCATTAAAGTGTAAATTAATGGCTTCATTGAAGTGTAATGAAGCCATAGATCTCTTAAAGAGAACTGATACAGCTGTTATTTTTGGTCAGCTATCTTATTATTTCTCTCTTTCTTTCTTCTTTTTTTTCTCCTGAATTTTTAGGGAGACAGATTATAAGATTTTGTGCAGAACAGGGGCTTTTAATTTACACTTCAATGAAGCCATAAATCTCTTCATTGAAACTGGCATTTAGATCAATGGCTTCATTGTTCTCTCCAAACCAATGGCTTTGGGTTCATTTAGATCAACGGCGTTGGGTTCTGCATGGCTCTTATCTTATTATTTCTCTCTTTCTTTCTTCTTTTTTTTCTCCTGAATTTTTAGGGAGACAGATTATAAGATTTTGTGCAGAACAGGGGCTTTTAATTTACACTTCAATGAAGCCATAGATCTCTTCATTGAAGTTGGCATTTAGATCAATGGCTTCATTGTTCTCTCCAAACCAATGGCTTTGGGTTCATTTAGATCAACGGCGTTGGGTTCTGCATGGCTCTCTAATTTATTTATTTATTTTTCTTAAAACTTGGCACAGTTCAACCTTAATTTTGTGTTCTTACAAATTTTTTCTTTGCTGGTGTAGAAACTCGTGGACCCAACAAAGATTGATCGCTAGGCTGTCGTGAACTTTTCAGCTCGCTGCGATATCCATGGCCTTGTTAGGGATTTGATTAAATGTGGAGACATGAAGGGAATTGTATGTCCTGTCATTTATGCTAGCTTAACTTAGGTTCAGTACTATATGATTTAAAATACAAATCTTTTTTGTTTTGTTTTTGTAGCAAATTGATGCTCTGTTCGATGTATTTGAAGAGAGTCCACAAAATAGGCGGGCCCCACCTCTTGTTAGAGTGGAAAAAATGATTGAAGATATACAATCCAGACTTCCTGGGGCTCCTCAATTTCTTCTCTGTCTGCTTCCAGAAAGGAAGAACTCTAATCTATATGGTTTGTTTGATTTGATTTATACCTTTATCACACTTTTTCTTTTTCTTTTTTTTCTTTTTTTTTTTTACCAGCCACTACAACAAATAGTACTTTTAATAACATATTTTCATAGCATTTTTTATTAAAATATTATTAATTATGGAGCATTTATAGCATTTTGTGATTAAATGACTTGAGGCACTAACTTTAGATATTTATAGCATTGAATTGTAATTTTTAATAACCTTTTATAAAATTACACAAATTAAGGATTAATGGCATTTAAAAAATGTTATTGTTGGGATAATATATAAAAAAAAAAAAAAAAAGAAGTTATATTGAACCCATAAAAAAAACATTATATTGAAAAACCCAAAAAGTTCGGTGCGAAAATATCGCACACCTAGATTAGAGATAGAAACCTACTACAAGTCAGGTTCCTAATTTCTGTCATTATGGACTATGAGTAATCACAGTGCTAGGGCTTCGATACAAGTTGAAGGTAATTCTCTCTCTATCTATATCACTCGATTTATATACATATAAATACATCTATATACTTATTAGTTTTGTTTTGATAGGAAGCCTCTAAAAATCATCAACCAATCTCAAGTGAAATAGAGAGAAGAAACAATTCGAGAATCAGATTGTGAGTATTTTTTTTTCCTTTGATTTTCTAGGTGCGAATTGATGTGTGGATGTTGATTTTTGGATATTCTTTATGGGATGTATTGAATTTGCACATGTATGTATACATAAGAAGACCTGGTTGGGTTCCACAAAACCCTTTTCTTCGATTGGATATAGAATTGAAAAATAAGATCTAGTGTGCTCATACTATAATTCTTGTTCTTGATCAATATTTAATTTTTGGATTTTATTATTATTATTATTTATTATTGAAGTATGTCTTAATTGTTTATTGCTTCTATATGTTCCCAATAAAACTATTATATGCTTTTACAACATGTTATTCATTGAAGTTGACCCTGTTTGGTGCTCCTATGGTTTTTTAAATTTTTTTTTTTTTATTGAAACCAAACAAAAAATACCATGAATGATCTAGTTATATATATATATGGTCCAACTACTATACATACCTCCATGTCATAAAAAGTAACCAATTTTTTTGGTGTTTTTTACGAATTTTTGTGATGTAGTTACGAATTTTTGTGGTGTATACAAAGCAATACTAGTTAAGAATTATTGTAGTGATATTGTGAACCAATTATGTTATGTGTTAAAAAGTTACAAATTTTTTAAGTGAGTAAATTCACGATTTTTAATGGCTATAGTACGAATCATTATGGTAAAGTTACAAAAAGGGATACCTTGTTTTTTTAGGGGCATGTGTTTTAAAAATTTTCATATATATATATACTTTATTAATGAGGTAGTTAATTATAAAAATATACATTATCTTAATTAGTCATTTTACTAAGACTCAAGAATTTGTAAACTACATGATCACAAAGGAAAAAATAATTACTACAAAACATCTTATTATTCTTGTTAACTTTGTTGATAAAAGTGACACATTCGTTTGTCTATGATGAATGCAACTCATAAATCATATTAGTGCTTAGAGAATTGAATAACCTATAAACAGAATAAACACTTTCTGAATTTGTTCATAAATCACATTTGTTTTATATGAACCCTCGAATAAACGGAAGAAACATTTGTTGGTTCTAGTCAAATTGATGCGTACTATTACCTTTTTTTTTTCTATAAAAAAATTCCTAAATTTTGATTTCTACGTTTTTTTTATTGGATGTAGATTTCTCATTACATGTTTGATAATATGCTTAACCAAAACATATCCTTTCTTGTTCATGGTAGGGAATTGGTTTTTTTTTTTTTTTTTTTTTTCCAACTTTGTTTTGATTTTGAGAAAGTGATGCAAAAGTGGGGGCAAGGACTAAGCCAGTATATTGGCCATGATCAGGCTTTAATAAATTGGTGATACTTCGAAGTAAACTAGTTTCACTTACTCAATTTTTTATTTTATTTTTTGCTTCCTTGCAAGCACCTTAAGCTACCATTTCAATATGCATTCTATTTATACTCTATTCAGTTCATTGGGATGAGATAGAATGATTATTCCTTAATCTTCCTTATGGAATGATCATTCCATTACATTGGTATATGATGTTCTATTTACAACGTATTTTTCACTATTTTTGTTTGTCAACCAAATATGAGAATAAATATTTTGATGTAATGATTATTTCATTCTATTTCATCTAGTGAACCAAAAACTATCTTAGGTGACCTTTCTAACTTTTGCCATTTAGACTAAATTTAAGTTAGTGATCATATTTTATAATAGTGGATCTCGATAATGTGCTATAGCAATCCATGGTTATTAAGGCAATGTTGAATCCCTTGAGTTTTTGGTTTGCTTAATTATCTATACTTATTTGCTAAATGCTTCCGCTGATTGGGAGGTTGATTATTATTTTGCAGTTGGTGTTTTCAGAAAGAAAGGTACCAAACTATATGAAGCAAGCTTGAAGGATGAGAAGACTTTAGATCAATGGCTTCATTTTTAAATTAAGCAAGTGTTTTAGTAAATAAATTTAATTTTCCCATCATGTTTACACCTTAAAAATATTCTGTAAATGACATTTGATGTAGAATTTTGTGTACAAAGGACATCTTTTTTGTATGATTCTGTGTTTGTATGTAATTATTATTTTGGGTTGGATTGTATTTGATTTATATAGGATTTGATGTTAAAAGATCAAATTTTTGTATTGTTGAAACGAAATAGAAATAGATATATGTATTATTTTGTTTATATACAGGGTGCAGGTTGCACGAAATAAATACAGGCTGTGGAGAAATTAATTATAATAAAAAAAAAAACACTAAATAAAGTTTTTGGCAACTAAATGTTTAGTAGCAAAAAAAAAAAAGTGAATTTGTTAGTGACTAACCAATTGGTAGCCAAAAGGGGAAATAAATATTTTTAGCGACTAAATATTTGGTAGCCATAAAGAACCCAAAGATTTTTGGTGACTAGAAATTTAGTAGCCAAAACTATATGAGACTTTAGGCGACTAAATAGTTTAGTAGTCAAAAGCGAGACGAAAAATAATTTTTTGTGGCGACTAAATATTTAGTAGCCAAAAATAAATGAAGACTTTCGGCGACCAAATGGTTAGTAGCAAAAAATAAAATAAAATGAAAAATAATTTTTTTGGCGACTAAATTCTTTAGTCCCTAAATGTAGTAATGTTGTGACTAAAACTTATCTACGACTAAAAGTTTTAGTCGCTGAAAATTTTTAGTCGCCAAAATGTCCCCTTTCCTGAGTACTCAAAGTTTCGTAGCCAAATGTTCACTTTTGGTGATTAATATTTTAGTCGCCAAAAGATAACCTTTGCCGACTAACCAAAGTTTAGTAGCCAAAACGTTCACTTTCAGTGACCAAAATAGTTTAGTCGCCAATACTATCGCCGATAGAGTATAGGCGACGACTTTGGCGACAAAAAAAATTAGTCGCCAATTTGTTTCGGCGACCAAAAATGGGGCTTTTGGCGACCAATATTTTGGTCGCCAAAAGTGTCATTTCTTGTAGTGTAAGAATGGGATGTGTGTAGGAAAATGTTACATGTCGATGGCCTTTTCAAGATGAATGTAATGACCATTGTATCCTCAATTATTAATAAAAATACATCTTCTGCTTACTTTCAAATTTATGGCATGGTAGACTTGGACATGTTAATTATGGATCTTTGCGTAGATTAATTAATATGGAATATTTACCTAAATTTGACATTGATTCAAATCATAAATGTGAAATTTGCATTGAGGCAAAATTATCCAAAACTCCTTTTCATTCAATTGAAAGAAGTACGGAACCACTTGAATTAATTCATAGTGACATTTGTGATTTTAAATCAATTCAAACTAGAGGTGGGAAAAAATATTTTATCACTTTTATAGATGACTATACTAGATATAGTTATATTTATTTAATTCGAACCAAGGATGAAGCTTTGGAAACTTTCATTCAATATAAGAATGAAGTTGAAAATCAACTTAGTAAGAAAATCAAGAAACTTAGAAGTGATAGAGGTGGTGAATATGAATCACCTTTCGGTGAATTTTGGAAAGAACATGGAATAATTCATCAAACCACCGCTCCTTACTCACCTCAACAAAATGGAATTGCTGAAAGGAAAAGTAGGACTTTAAAAGAAATGATGAATGCCATGTTAATAAGTTATGGATTACCTCAGAACTTGTGGGGGGAAGCAACACTTTCTGCAAACTATATTTTAAATAAAGTACCCTGAAAGAAAGTGAATCAAACACCTTATGAAATGTGGCATGGAAGAGTACCATCCTACAAATACTTAAAAAGTGTGGGGGTGTTTGGCTAAAGTGGCTATTCCTAATCCTAAAAAGACTAAGATAGGTCCTAAAATAGTTGATTGCATTTTCATTGGTTATACCAAGAATAGTAGTGCATATCGGTTTTTGGTTTATAAATCAGAACATACCGAAATGCATGTAAATACTATTATTGAGTCTCGAAATGCATCATTCTTTGAACATGTATTTCCAAATAAGACTGGATAAGAGACTAGTACTAATAAAAGATCATTTGATACTATTACTAGTCAAGATCAAGAACAAGAACAAGAGTTAGATCAAATTGAGAAAGATGAACCTAGGCGTAGTAAACGTGCTAGAACCTTGAAATCGTTTGGTCCAGATTTTCTAACATTTTTGTTAGAAAATGAACCTTTAACTTTTAAAGAAGCTATGTCCAGTCCTGAGGCTCCTTTATGGAAAGAAGCTATAAACAGCGAAGTTGAATCCATCTTGCAAAATCACACTTGGGAATTGGTGGATTTGCTACTAGGTTGTAAACCTCTTGGGTACAAGTGGATTTTCAAAACAAAAATGAAAGCGGATGGATCAATTGACAAATACAAGGCAAGACTTGTGGTCAAAGGATATAGATAAAATGAAGGTCTTGATTACTTTAACACATACTCACCGGTTACTAGAATAACATCCATTAGAATGCTAATTGTCATTGCATCTCTATACAATCTAAAAATTCATCAAATGGATGTGAAAACTGCTTTCTTAAATGGTGAGTTAGATGAAGAAATTTACATGAAACAACCAGAAGGTTTTTCTGTTCCAGGAAAAGAAAAGAAAGTGTGTAAATTGGTTAAATCATTATATGGTTTAAAACAAGTTCCAAAGCAATGGCATGAGAAATTTGATAAGGCAATGATGTCAAATAGATTTAAAATTAATGAGTGTGACAAATGTGTTTATATTAAAAACACAGACAAAGGTTATGTTATTGTATGTCTTTATGTAGATGATATGCTCATCATAGGTAGTAATACTGACATGATTAAAACTACCAAGAAAATGTTGAATAAACATTTTGACATAAAGGACATGGGCATTGCTGATGTAATTATCGGTATGAAAATTACCAAAACATCAGATGGATATGCTTTGTCACAATCTCATTACATTGAGAAAATACTTGACAAATTCAGCAAAGATGATGATCATCTTGCTAGAACACCTGTAGATGTTAATTTGTTTCCATCTAAGAATATACAGGAAAGTATTTCTCAATTAGAGTATGCCCAAATTATTGGAAGCTTAATGTACTTGATGAACTGCACTCGCCCAGAAATAGCTTATGCAGTAAGTAAATTAAGTATATATACGAGTAATCCAGGAGTAGAACACTCGAAAGCAATTATAAGGGTTCTAAGATATCTCCGATTTACTCGTAACATTGGGCTGAATTATACTAGATATCCAGCAGTACTTGAAGGTTACTGTGATGTAAACTGGATATCGAATATTAGAGACTCAAAGTCCACCAGTGGGTATGTCTTTACTCTTGGTGGGCGGCTGTATCTTGGAAATCTTCCAAACAGACTTGCATTGCTAGGTCTACTATGGAATCAGAATTCATAGCTTTAGATAAAGCTGGGGAAGAAGCAGAATGGCTTCGCCACTTCCTTGAAGATATTCCAATATAGCCAAAATTGGTGCCTGCTATTTGCATACATTGTGATAGTCAATTAGCAATTGGTAGAGCACAGAGTTATATGTATAACGGTAAGTCACGTCACATTCGTCGTCGACATAACACTATGAGACAACTACTCTCTAATGGAATTATTTCCATTGAATATGTGAAATCTAAAGACAACATAGCGGATCCACTAACCAAAGGGTTAGCAAGAGAGCTAGTTGAGAATTCATCGAGGGGAATGGGACTTAGGCCTATTAAATAAGAGTTACCACAATGGCAACCCAACCTAGTTGACTGAAGATCTCAAGATCTAGGTTCAAAGGGACAACCGAGTTGTGTATGACTCAGAAGAATCATTGGGGTGTCTAACTTCTACCCATTTCTATGATGAAATAGTGATGTCTCACTATAAAAAAAATTACTTTTTTACGACGGCAAAATGCCGTCGCAAATACCCAAAACACCGTCTCAAAAGCTTTTTTGCGACGGCAACTGGCTTTTAGTGATGGCAAGTGGGGGGTCGCAACAAAGGGGGTTGCTAAAGGGTTTTAGCGACGGTATAACGCCGTCGTCTCTTTTTTGGCGACGACAAAATGTTATCGGCATTAATGCATGGAAATCTGAATTTTTTGAGACGGCATTGTGTTGCCGTCGCAAAAGGGTTATTTGCGACGGCAAAAATACTGTCGCTAAATGGTTATTTGAGATTGCAAACATGCTGTCTCTAAAAATATTATTTGCGATGGTAAGGAATACCGTCGCTAAAGGTCTTTTGTTTTAACTAATTTATGCCAATATCTTTTGCGACGGCTATACTACCGTCGCTAAAAACCTAGTTCTAATTTTTTTTGAGACGGTGTGGTGCCGTCTCAAAAAAAAAAAAAAATCAATAAAATTATTAAAAATTTGAAAATTACCAGTATTAAATTAAAAATAACTAAAAAAGAAACCGATCATTACATAATAATATAAAAATTGCAGTACATAAATAAAAATTTATCCATAATTAAAATATTCTTCTATTCATAACAACACATCAGCAAAATTATCCCACCACATAATGTTGCATAATACATACATAATGTTGTTCACAAATCTAAATAACGTAAATCAAAAATAAAAGTTTTCGTCATGATTCTTCCGTGGGTTACAAAAACAAAAGTTAGTCGCAATCTTCACACGCCTGCATTCCACAAGAAGCAAACTGCTATTTAGGAAATATCTGAAAAAAAAAATAATAATAATTAATGACAATATAATTATGTGTTAATATTTTAATTACAAAAAACATAAAAGATTAATTACTATATAATTACAAAGATAGTTAAGTAAATAATTTTGCATAGAGTGATATCTGACTCTAACTCCCAAATCGGGAACTCGATTCGAGCCCCATCTTCTCCCACAAGTCTCTCGTGCCTAGGCGGTCGTGTATGCCAAGTTTCGTGCTAAACCGACGTCGTTTGGTGATTTTGGGGCGTCAACACCTCGAATTCAAGTTTCTTAAGGAACTAGTTTGCCTAGACTGAAATATGGCTCTAACTCCTAAACTGAGAACCCGATTGGAATCCCGTCTTCTCACACAAGTCTCTCGTGCCTAGGCGGTCGTGCGCGCCAAGCTTCGTGCTAAACCAACACCGTTTGGTGATTTTGGGGCGTCAACACCTCGAATTCAAATTTC